CTCCCATAGTGTTAGATTGAGCTTTTGATGGCTACAATCAAATTGGGATCACCAGATGCATCCATTTCTGACATAGAAATTACAAAATGGCCACAGGGGGACTTGATGAAACAAACTCTCTCAGGACAAATCCTTGCTTTCAAGTTCTAGTGCCATAAAAATAACTCTCTCTCTCTCTCTCTCCCTTCCTCCCTGTCTCCCTCCCTCCCTTCCTCCCTCTCTCCCAACTTCCCCTGTCCTACTGTATAAGCCCACCCCAAGAGTAAAACATTTCTTGTGGCCCTCAAAAAATTATATACACATTTAAATACTGATATATAATCCCAGGAAGGTGGTGTGATTGGGCAATTTCCTTAACTATACTACTTTGAAAATTTAGTGAACAAGGAATAGGGATCCAATAGAGTTAGCTATTGTCATTACTATTAGCCACCTGGGTTTGGTGATTTTCACTTGATTTGAATCCACTTTTATCAGGGTTGTCGTTTTTTTGACGCAAGGTGTCTCTGTGTATTCCAGGATGCCCTTGAACATCCTCCTGTCCCTGCCTCCTTGGCCCTATCAGCTTTTTTTTAAATGCTCTCCAGGACTATGCCCTTGCTCCTCTTCTCCAAAACTCTGCAGCTCCTAGTTTGACCCTCCTTAGTGCTCACCTCTCTCATTTACACAACAATGAAAGTTTGTTTTGTTCCTTATAATCATTACACTTACCCTTAGTAAAAAGCAGGTCAACAGCTTGAAATAAAATAAGAAAGGACTGGGGTGTGGCTAGAGTAGAAGAGGGAAAGAAAAACAAGTCCTGTCCAGGGGTGGGTACCAGTAAGAAGGGGGAGGGCAAATGGAGAGGGTGGAGGAGGGTAAGGTGGATGTACTTTGTATACGTGTATGAAAATAGAACAATAAAACCTATTGACATTGTTCTAAGGGGGGAGGGAGAAAGAGGGTGAATGATGGAGGGGGTAAATGTAGTTAAGATACATTGTAGCACATATGTAAATGTCACAATGAAACCCCTCTGTACAACTGTTATATGCTGATAAAAGTAGTTTTACAAAGATGGGGAGGAGGAGAAGGGAGAAGAAGAAAGAAGGAAGGAAGGAGGAGGAGAAGGAGAGAAAGAAGAAAGGAAGATGAAAAGGAAGGAGAAGGAGGGGTTAGACAAAAAAGTTGCAAATCATGCCTGGGTGAAGCAACAGGAAAACAGGTAATCTCACATATTACTGCCAGGGGGCAACTCTTTCCATCTCCTACAGAAGACAAGTTGGTAATGTCCAGTTAAATTACATTCTCTCCCTTTGGACCAGCAATTCTCTCTCTGGAAATTTAGTCGACAGGATACTTGCAAAACAATGGCATTCAATGTATTCACCACACTTTTCTAATAGCAAAAGAACAGAAATAACCCCAAAAGTACTTTTGCAGACAACTAATTAAATTGAATAATAACTAAATATAAGGAAGGAAGGAAAATAATCTACATTTATTATTGCTTATATTTGCATTAAAAACAAACTCTAGAAAGGCACAAAGGAAAATAAAGTTTTTTATTATTGAAGTAGGAAATGCATGAATATGAAATATGAGGGAGACTATCATTTTAGGATTTCAGTCCTTGTAAATGCACTAGTTGTTTAAAGTTTTCTTTCTTTTCTTGTAGTGCTGAGAATTGAACCCAGGGTCTAATGCAAGCTAGGCAAACGCTCACCCACATGTCCAAGCCCTTTAGTATTTGTTTAAAATGTAAGTAAATTTAATACTAAATAGTGAAGGAAAACCGAGTTTCACTTTTCTGACATCCTCAGGAAACAATTTTTTTTTTTTCAGTACTGGGGTTTGAACTCAAGGCCTACACCTTGAACCACTCCAACCCCTTTTTGTGATGGGCTCTTTTAAGATAGGGTCTCATGAACTATTTGCCTGGGCTGGCTTTGAACTGTGATCCTCCTGATCTCTGCCAATCCTAGCAAGTAGCTAGGATTACAGGTGTGAATCACCAGCGCCAGAACTCAGGAAATAATTGTTAAAACAGTTGCATCCTTAATTTTGAAGTAGATACAGGTAAATGAATTTTCTCCTATTTGGAGTGTCAGAGGGAAACTTGGCTCAGCTCCACGTGGTAAGAAGCTACGATGAGCTACAAAGGTTGGTCTGCCATCTGGAATTCTTCCTCCCAGGGATTTCTTGCTACTTGAGAAATGATTTTTATGCAGGACGATGAACAGCAGGATGAAATATTATGTACACATCTATGTAAATGGAAAAGTGAGACCTGTTGAAACTATTCCAGGAATGGGGAAAAGGGGGATGAAGGACAATGATGGAGGGGGTGAATTCAACTATGATATATTGTAAGAACTTTTGTAAATGTCACAGTGTACCCCCAGTACAACAATAATAATAAAAAAAGAAAGAAATGAATTTTAGCTGGGCAATGGTGGCTCACACCTATAATCCTCAGGAGGCAGAGATCAGGAGGATTGAAGTTCAAAACTAGCCCAGGCAAATAGTTCATGAGACCCTATCTCCCAAACACCCAAAGCAAAAAAGGGCTGGTGGAGTGGCTAAATGGTAGAGTGCCTGCCTAGCAAGTGGGAAGCCCTGAGTTCAAACTCCAGTACCACAAAATAAAAACTTTTATTCCAATGTAGTACAACCAACCTTTTATTAATTGCTGCTTATCACAAGTGTGCCAAGTTTCTCTTCATGCTCCAAGTAGGAGGAAATTCATTTATCTGTGCTAGTTACTTAAAATCAAGGATGCAACTGTTTTATCATATCCTGTGGATATGGGAAATGTGAAAAAACTTAATTTTCTTTACTGGAGCCAGGTGTGGTGGCACACTGTGGCAGGAGGGTTGAAATTTCTGGCTATGTAGTAAGACCCTGCCTCAAAAATAAGAAAGTTTTTATGGTCCTTTTTAGAGAAGGGGACATGTGATTTACATTTTAAAACTTAAGTTTGGCTGCTATGGAACAGACTGACATGACCAAATTAAATCAGTACCTGTTAAAAGTCTCTTTCAGTAGTCATGGCAACATAGGATAGGACTGTAGTTGCTTAAGGATTTCCTGTTGGGGTGAGGCATCAAATTTGACTCCTAGCTGCACACTGGTGGCTCATGCCTGTAATCATAACTACTTGGGAGGCTGATATCCAGAGGATCGTAGTTTGAGGCCAGCCCAGGCAAATAGTTTGAGACCCTATCTCCAAAATACCCAGAGCAAAATGGACTGGAGGTGTAGCTCAAGTGGTAGAATGCAAGGGCAAAGCCCTGAATTCAAATGCCAATACTGCCAAAAAAATTTTTTTGTCTTATTTCTGGCCTGAGCCATTGGGTTAAACTGATGGCACCTTTGTTCCTGGTGGTTGCTTAACTGGCCACAGTATACCAAAGGGGTGAGGCGGGCAGATGAATAAGGACCCACTGCATGGAACCTGTCTGGACTTGGGGTTTATCCAATTGGTTGGGGTTACTAGATGTTTACCAGATTACTGAAGCCCTCCCCTTATGACCACACCCCAACAACTGCTCAGGCTGTCCTGGTGTGGAAGGCACAGGGCTAGCATTTAATCCTCTTTTGCCCTTTCCATTTCAGCACTGCCAGTGAAAGGTCCAAGTCCTATCAGTCTTTCTGTGTGTGCATTTTTATTTTGGTTTTTTTGTTTTTGCTTTGCTTTTACTTATCTTTATTTTTATCACATCAGCCACTATTACCCTCAAATCAAATGCCTGCCTTTTATCCACAAGGAAGGGCTATCTTAATTGTTGGCCCTGGATGTGGGCCATCTGAGGTTTTAGGATAGAATCTTATAACCCAGGGCATCTCTGCCTAGGACCTTCACTTACTGACAGTGAAAGGGAAGCAATTATTTGATGGGCATGGTAGAAAAACAGCTCAGCATTAGTATTCTCTCCCATTATTAATCTCTCCAAGAAATGGTCAACATTTGGTACTACATATGAAGCCCGTTCCAGGTGCCCTACCTGTATTAACAATTAGCCTCACAATCCCACAGAGTCAGATTGGGTTAAACTTGGTCATAGGACCAGGATGCTCCCAAGTAGGATTCATTCTAGGTGAACTATCAAACTAGTTTCCACTGTGGAGAACTGTGGTGCTTATTTTGGTGGCTCCCTACCGAACGCAAGTTTCACCTATGGCAGTGACTTCATCTACCCCAACTCCACTTTGCCTTTGGGTGCCATGCAGCAATTCAAGTTTCCTTAGGGAAGCTAGCACTCTTTCCAAGGGGTCTTTGAGATTCTCCTTTGGCACGGATCTATTCGTATAAAGCTGGTTTTTGTTCATATACTGCCACCTAGATAATATTTCACAACAAATTGAAATGCAGAAGATGAAGACCCAGCAGGCTGCCTTCTATTAAGAAATTTACAAGGATATAAAACTGCTACACTGGAAATGGCCTTGGCTCTTTCATATTTTTGTTTTGAAGAACATTTCCTTTTCATTTTATACATTAACCTATTTTAGGGCTGTTTTAAATGAGATTCAAAGGCACATATGAATAAAATAAAAATTTAAAAAACAAATAAATAAATTAAATAAATGAGATTCGAAGTCAGTTATAGATAGTATCATACCTCCCCCTAAGTTTTTGGTTCAGAACTGGATCCCAGGATTAACCTCCTATGTCATTTTTTACCCTAGCCAAATTGGCCCTTGTACCTCTTTCCAGTTTGGGGGGTTTCAATTAAGATTTAAGATTAAGAACCACACCTCCACAGTGCATCAGGTATCTGTCCATCAACCACAATGTCAATTTACTTATTTAAAATTTTATTCTTTAGTTTGCAACCTTGGAAAGAGACATTCACATCGAAACTCACAGCAAGACAGAGACCCAATGTGTGGTTTTTCCTTAACTCATTCGGATGTAGAGACTATAGCAAAGCTTTTAAGCCAAGTCAGAACCACTCTAACTCTGGCCGCAGCCTAATCTCTACCTCCTGGTCCCACATACTGGCTGGAAACTGGCTTCACTTCATCCAAGGGCCTAGTTCAAGGTCGTTCATGGCTTCCTCAAGCTTGACATTTCCTGCACCAGAAACACCAACAGCAGAATGAGTAAGGGGAGAGAGGAAAATAGTCATGACAATTCTCCCCCTCTTTCAGGGGGTGTGTATGTGTGGGGGGGAGGGGGAAAGGGAGGGAGAGAGGGAGAGAGAGAGAGAGAGAGAGAGAGAGAGAGGAGAGAGAGAGAGGGAGAGAGAGAGAGGGAGAGAGAGAGAGAGAGAGAGAGAGAGAGGGAGAGAGAGAGAGAGAGAGAGAGAGAGAGAGAGAGAGGCAGAGGCGGGGGGTTTGAACTCAAGGCTTCTTCCTTGCAAAGCAAGCATTCTACCGTTTAAGCCATAACTCCAGTCCATTTTGCTCTGCTATTTTGGAGATGGGGGTCTCTCAAACTATATGCTGGGGCTGGCCTGGAACCATGATCCTTCCAATCTCAACCTCTCAAGTAGCTGAGTCACCAGTGCCAAGCTTTTTGTGGACCTATTGTAACATTTTCCAAGCAGCCTGGGGGAGAAGGGAGAGGCTGAGTTGAGATATCTCAGGTGACCCTGCCAGAGGCGACCAACCCCAGTAGCCTCGCCCCTTGCGCCCCGGACTCCCTAAGGACTCTCAGAGACGGCCAAGGGCGCCCCTGCCAAGGCATGGGTGGTGATTGTAAAGACTGAGGGGAGAAGTAAGCCGAGTGCTGGAGGAGTAAATCTGTCCCCAGTGCCCCTGTCAGCCAATATCTCACCTTGCTCCTGCTGTTGGAGGTGACACTGGGCCATGGACTCGAGCATCCACCTGGTGCGGAACTTGCATAAGTAGGAGCCATAAACCAAGACCTCGGTAAATTCCGAAGATTCCAGCGCCTTCAGCTCAAGCATGACCTTGCTCATTTCCTCGATGTAAGGTATTCGAGATCCATGTGCTCCTGTGGGAGAAAGAAAATAGTGCTCTGAGCCGCGGAGACCTAGACGCCTGGGACCGGACGACTGGGTCAGGACGCGGCACTCACCAAATAAGGCTTCCAGCAGGTGCGTCTGGATCTTGAACACCTCAGGTTCCTGCAGGTCTTCGGGAACTTTCAGCCACGGTGGAATATCTTCACGTTGCGGGGTCGCTCCCATGCCGAATCCCTCAAAAGCAAGCAGTCCCACGTTAACCTTGTGGTGCCCAGGGGCGGTGCGCAGAACTCTAGCACCTGGGCGGCCACGCCCCCGCCCCGGCCCCATCCCACAGTCCTAGGGATCCGCCCCGCCCCGGTCCCATCCCACAGTCCTAGGGATCCGCCCCGCCCCGGTCCCATCCCACAGTCCTAGGGATCCGCCCCGCCCCGCGCTAACTTCTGGGCTTTCCTGTCATGGGTTCAAGTGTGCTCTGGAGACCCCGCCGCAGGCCCAGCTGTCTGCAAGTTGGCGGGAGTTTTCGTCTGCATTGGCAGTGGGTGGGGAGAAGATGCTGTCGCCTCCTCTTCGAAGCGAAAACAGCTGGTTGGACCCGAACCCACAGAGCGGGAATCCAAGCTGGAGGGTGCGAGGACTACCCAGGAACTCCGGGGAACGAAAGAGGGTCATTTCCCCTCGTCGCAAAGGAGCCAGGCCCCTGGTCTTCATTTCGTGGGCTGCCTGGGCAACTTCCAGAAACTCATCAGTAATTCCTGCTACTTAACAAACAGGAAACCGAGATTCGGAAACTATTGCCTTCCTTGGGAGCACACGATAGGGGCTCTTTCATGCTCCCACGATTAGGGTTCCTCAAACAAAACCCCTGGCCTGGAGCTTTTGAAGTGACCCGGATTTCAAAATTCATGTGTGCCTCTCTCACCACTCAGCCCCAAACCGGGCTAGGCTTCCCACTGCCTCTAAATAAACTTGATTTATTGGGTTTTTTTTTTTATGTTGTTTGAAATGAGTTTGAAGTGATGGTGAGGTGGTTTCAATGTTTTATGGCTTTACAGATGAAGCTGAAGCTGGCTTTCCCCAGGCCAGCTCAAGTAACATCTAATATCTTCAGCTGGCTATTGTTAGGCAGCCTTTTTTTTTTTTCCTCCCCGTGGTACTGAGGTTTGAACTCAGGTACTGAGGTTTGAACGTTGCTCTTGCTAGGCGCTCTACCCCTTGAGCCACACTCCCAGCCCTTTTGGCTTTAGTTTTTCAAATGTGGCCTCACATTTATGCCCAGGGCAGCCTGGACCCTGGTCCTCCTATTAGCTAGGGTGATAGGCCCACGCCATCATGTCCAGCTTTTTTTGGTTGAGAAAGGGTCTGACGACTTTTTGCACGGGCTAGCCTTGAACCTCGATCCTCCTGCTCTCCAACTACCCAGTAGCTAGGATTACATGGTGGCTCACGGCCACCATGCCCTTAAAGGCAGACCTCATCACAGCCAAAAAAAACAATGGGTTCCTGACTAGGGGCATGGCTCAAATGGTAGGGCACCTGCTTAGCAAGCAGGAGGCCCTGAGTTCAAACCCCAGTACCACAAAAAGAAAAACCTCCATGAAGCTAAGAAAAGTAAAGATCCATGTATACAGTGGCTTTGTAAGAAAAACTGGTGGCTCTTTTGCAACCAGTGCAATCAATTTAGAAAATAATCAGCAGCTTCAACTATCTGGGAAAGATTATTGAAAACTAGATATTTAAAAGGTCTGAAAGATAGGTGCCGGTGCTCATGCCTTCAATCCTAGCTACTTAGGAGGCTGAGATCAGGGTTCCAGACCAGCCTGGGCAAGTAGTTCAAGATGCCATCTGCAAAATAAGCAGAACAAAATGCACTGAAGATGTGGCTCAATCAGTAGGTGCTGCTTTGCAAGCTCAAGGGAGCCCCTGAGTTCATACCTCAGTCCCACCAAAAAAAAAAAAAGTCTGGAACTCCTTGCCCACCAGATTCTGAGTTATAAAAGAGAAAAATATTGCTTTACAATAGAGATTTAGAGGGCACCGCCCCAACCAAAGACCAAAATTACCATCACCAATAATGGGAGAAATGGATGGTTTGTCAATTTTATGAAAACAAAAAATGAGAGGCCTGTCTTACTAATTAACTGAAGAAACAACAAAATGCTTTTGAATCAAAGACAGACTGTTCCAGGACAATGGAGGAAACTTAAATATGGAGTAAATTGCAAAGTTGTGTTTTAATTTTTAGGGATTTTAAGAGTGGGGCCAGGTGTGGGTTTGTGCCCACAGCACTTGGGAAGCTGAGGCAAGAAGATTATCAATTGGAGGCCGGCCTGAGCTACCTGTGTCAATTTTTTTCCTACAGTGGGGAAACCTGGCACCAGTAGCTCACACCTGTAACCCTAGCTACTTGGGAGGCTGAGATAGGGAGGATCCTGCTTCCAGGGTCAGCCTAGGCAAATAGTTTGTGAGACGCCCCCCATCTCCAAAATAACCACATCAAAATTGCCTGGGTGTGGCTCAAGTGGTAGAACGCCTGCTTTGCAAGTCCAAAGCTGCGAGTTCAAACCCCAGATCCACCAAAGAATATATATTCTTCACCTCAAAATATATATATTCTGGTGAAGGACAAAAATTTTTTCAGAGCTTTGCACTTGAAAAAAATTCCTTCTATACTCTCAACTTTTCTGTAGTTTTGAAATTTTAATGAAAAGGATGACTAGCAAGTGTGAGGCCCTGAGTTCAAACCCTAGTACCGCCAAAAAAAATTAACCAAAAAAAAAAAAAGAGGAAAAGGAAACAGTGTAGTCCATGGTGTGGATAATAAAAAGAAACATGGAGGTTGGGATCTAACTCTCCAGTGAGAATTTTCCTTATGCTTTCTAAATCATCCTTATCCCCCATTTCTTTGACTGGAAGCTCAATGTAGTATTTAAAAAAAGAACATAGAGGAGGAATGGAATTGTCTCCAACTTCAGGGTATAGAGACAAGCCTGCATTGCCCATACAAACTTATTCTGTACAATAAGTATCCAAGACTTAAATTGGTCTTTCAAAGCCAGCCTGGGCAAATAGTTCACAAGACCCTATCTCAAAACAACCCATCACAAAAAAGGGCTAAATGTGTAGGCTCTGAGTTCAAACCCCAGTCCACCATCAACAACTTTAAACAGCAATGACCAACCCTTCCTTCTACAGAGTTCATCTACAGTCAGCAGTTTGTACTGCAGGGCCAGTTCCCCATTCCTGTCAGTGTTTTTCAATTATTTTCACCTTCCTACTGAGAAAAATGACAACGCATGTTTCATATTTTGGGGGTTTTATTGGTTTTGCATTTACTTACACGTGTACACATTATTTGGGCCACCTTCCCCCTCCTTTTCAGATTGTGAACCAAGAATTGAAGATTCATAAGTTGCTGGGAAGGGGTTGAAGGGTAGTGTGATTTACTAAGAAGAATAAGACCCCCCCCTTAAAAAATAGTGTCATCACCCACCCTTTCATGCTAGCAGGAGGCCTCTTAATTTTGTTATCTACCACACATAAATTGTGTATTTCTAGTCAAGCCTTTAGATTTCCAGCCTGAGTCAGAGCAACAGCTCTGATGGAAAATTCACTCAATCCTAGATATTAACCCGCCTGCAGTTTTGGTTTCTTTCCTTTTTTTTTTTTTTTTTTTTTTTTTTTTAAAAAAAACTCAGGGCTTCACACTTGATAGGCAGGTGCTTTAGAGCTTAAGCCAGTCCTCTAGCCCCCGGGGCTGGCTTGGAACCCCAATACTCCTGATCTCTGCCTCCTGAGTAGCCTGTGCCAGGCTCCACCTGCAATTCTTTCACTTGAAGGAAACCCATCCACAGGCTGCTGGCCACTGTACCCATCAGGGTTTTCTTCCCTCCCATTTGGAATCTTAGGCTGCTAGGAGCAGTGGGCAAAATTATGCAGAGCATGGAAAACACCTGTATTACCCCCACCTCAGGCCTCAGTGGTTAAGCAGGTAACCGCCAGAGGAGAGGTGCCTCTGAGGTTCGACCCTGGGAGACTTAGGGGCTCTCTCGAGATCTGGCCCTCCCCCTCAACAGTCAGCTGAACGGGGATCCTAGAACTTCTCAGCCTCTACAGGCGAGCCTGTGTGGTCTGGGAGAGACCCAGATTGCGTGGCTGAATCCAGCCACATGGAAATCACATCCTCCAACCCAAGAGAGTCGCCAACCAGTCCTCTTGTTATGACCACAACCAGGAACAGCTGCAGGACACCTCTGCCAAGTCCAAGGTAGCCCTTCCCAGTGCCCCAGCTACAGAATTGTTGGGTATGATGCGGTAGGAGAGGCTGTCCTGACAACACTAATTACACCCATTTGATTCTCTATTTTCTCAGGAAAAAGTTGCTAAGGTGACGTTGGCTCTGTGATCAGTAGGTCCCACAGGCACAGGGCGCCAGATTTTACGGGAGAGCTAAGCAAATGATTCCATGCGTCCAGCTCAAACACGGCAGTCTACACACCCTTTTACACATATAATTATATATATATATATATAATCTTTGCATTACTGGGGCTTGAACTCAGGGCCTGCACCTTCAGCCACTCCACCAGCCAATTTTTGTGACGGGTTTTTTCGAGATAGTGTCTTGTCCTGAGTTCGAATCGTGATCCGTGATCCTCTTGATCTCTGCCTCCTGAGTAGCTAGGATTACAGATGTGAGCCACCAGCACCCAGCTTAGACACCTTTGCTGGTCCATCTTTTCCTATCTCTCCTCCCCATGCACTAAGATCCAGCAAGCCATCTTGGTCTTTCCAAGGACTGCGCTGTTGAGCCAACCTGTGCAGGTAAACTCTGTCTGCATCTCCACCCTGGAGGTGATGAGGGTCAAAATCCTGGTGGGCTGCCAGCTTGCAGCTAGACACCCACGAGTACCAAAGCCCACCTTCTGTCAGTCCATTCAACTTCTTTGATTAATTTAGTCAAACTGTCTCCATAGAGACCTGGAGAAATTAACTGCTTTATGAGAACTATTACTGGAAAGCTGAGGCAGGAGGATTGCAAGTTTGAGGCCAGCCCCAGCTACATAGCAAGATTTAAAAAAAAAAACAAAAGAGGGGCTGGCAGAGGGGCTCGAGTGGTAGAGCTCTTGCCTAGCAAGCATGAAGCCCTGAGTTCAAATCCCAGAACCACACATGCAAAGTCTCCATTCATTGTTTGAGACAAGCATCCTGGAAAACCTCTTAGA